CGATTCATTTTCCGTTTCATCGTCGGGCAGTCTTAAATCTAAGATCTGTCAACTCTATCTTGGCTGCGGGCATGTGATCCACATGCCAATGCCCCTGGACACACAACCCTCCATTCTTCAGAAGGTTGAAACTTGTGTCCCCCCTGCCTACCAACCTAGACAGAAATGAACAGACTCAGATGGATCCTACGGGCTTGACAGCGGTGGTGAAAAGCTAGGGAGCCCACCCTGCTCTCTCCATTGCCACCTTCCATGCATCGCCTGGACCCCCAAACTTCTTCCAAGTGATTTGTCCTCGTTGAAGGTTTTCCTTCTCAGAGTCGCTGGCAGAGGTGCGCTTGACCACATACGCTTTGGTCTTTAGCAAGACCTCGATAGCCTCAAGGCTAGCCCGGAAGTATCGTGGGGTCTGGAGTGGCGCGGGGATAGGTTATCGGAATTCCAAGATATGGTGGTATCGTGGAGTGCATTCTTTTGATAAGACACGGTGGCGGTGCAAAAAAAACATTTAAGACCAGTGACAGCTCCAGAGTCCTGCTTCAGAGTATAGCCATGTTTACCCTGGTGGTTGCCATCAACAGGTGGCCGGGCTGCGCGTGGAATGTCCAACTTATCCAAATCGTATTGCTTGAACTTGGTCATGTCTTCACCAACCACATTCTGGGCCGAGTGGTCACGCTTTTTGATTTCGCCCATTTTCTTTGCCTCAGGCACATGTGTTTGATATGGCTTGATACACCTTGACTGTAGAAACCGTTTGACTAGATATGTTAGGGGAAAACCGAATCGCTAACGCGTGACTAGTCGGCCTCGATACTGTTTGCGGCCCTACAACTGCAGGCGGCGTCAAAGACAGAGAAGACTCGACTTTGGAATAGCATCGGGGTTTCTTGCACACAGGTGTCTCAGTCGAACCTGCCACCTCCTCATCGATGGTCTCCTCCTGACGCTGAGAGCTTTGTTGAAAGGCTTCTTCTCCGCCTGCACGAGAAGCACATTGCTCAAATCAAACCCCTTTTGATTTCACCACATCTTGATTCCACTAGCTAAGCGTCACCTTTAACTTTCCACCTCCAGAAACAGCACCAGAGAACCTACCCCTGCAAGTTGGTGAAAGAAGTCAGGTCAAACGTCCATGAACACCCAAGACCGTCGGGAGGCACCTTGCGCTGATCTCCTCCGCCTTTGGAAGCTTGATCATCGGCGTCCTTCAGGAGTGTTGGGCAACGGGCCGCCCGGGCATGAGGAAAGATTTAAACATAGCGATTACCAACAAAAAATAGAAACCCAATCGCTTGATCATTACCAGTATGACTCCCATCCAACACCATCACAGGCCTGGGACTTTTGGTGGTGAACCCAATGGTTGAAGTTGTCCAGCGTAGCGAGATGGCCATACACGTGGTCCCCATACTTTGCAAAGCAAGTGCGACACCACTTCTCATAGTCTGGCCACAACGGGGAATCCGACAACCCCAAGTCACTTCGGACGTCAACCAACATTTGCTCAACGCTCGTGAGCTTCCGCTTCTTCTCATCCCTGGCCTTCTCTGCCTTCTCCACCTGGTTGAAATGAACCATGGCGACCCTGCCAGCCACGGCCCTCAAAGTAGGAGCGTTCAACTCAGAATCATCCCCTGACGTGACGGAGCTTGCCTGGCTTGCTTCGACAACGACAGAAGGTCCTGGCGCTGTGCGCGGTGCATCCTGGTCACCAAGCACAGAATGAGAAGGTTCACTCAAGGGCTCTCCATCATAGTCAGAGCTGGTCTCGGGGGCATCCTCAAGATCACCCCCACCATCCACACCTTGTTCTTCATTCTCTTCATCACCCTCATTGGGACCCTCACCAGCCTCATCATCACCCTCATCATCCCCCTCATTGCGACCCTCATCAGCCTCCTCATCAGCCTCCTCATCAGCCTCATCCTCAAGAGGTTCATGGGCGCGACCTTCAGGACGGGGGCTGGGCAGGAGGAAGCCTTTGAGCTCAGTGACTTTGTCATCAAGTCCTTTGCCCTTGCTGGACCGCCACAACCCTCGCAAGGCTCCAACCAATTTCTTCATAATGACAGCTTCATTTGCCGCCAAGCTCATCCGACTCTGGTTCTTGGCGCGGTCTGGCTTGAACACCTTCTTACCAAGCTGGCGGTCAAACTCGATGAAGACGTCCGTCATGAAGTACGCTGATGGAACCTGCAGGCAAATGCAATCTTGTAAGTGTTCATGTAAAAAGGAAGCCTTGAGACATCTTTTGAGCGCATATAAAAACAAGAAACATGTTATACCATACGCGTACGCCGTTCGCACCGCGTGTTTCCCAATCCCAAACCTTCCTCGGCATGAACTGAACTACCGGCTTGATGAACCAGTAGTTAGAACTGACCTCTTTGCTTGTAGGTGTCTTGAAAGCTTGGGAATCTGGCAAGGTAAGCAAGGGGCCACCTTTCCACTCCGGCGATTGGAGGATGTTGATGGTGGACACTGGTAGAGCAGCCACCATGGACTTCGCAAGTGTTTCCTTAGGGGTTGGGTACTGACCGCTGAAACAATTCAATGGTCTATCTAGTCACAAAATGAACACCCAAAAGAACAAGTGATAGCCTGAGTGGACGCGAGACCAAGCGGCCACCTCTTCTAGTGCCCACGAAACCTTTCCCGGACCTCAGCGTCCATAATCATTTTCATTTTGGGCAGGCACATACACGATGAATTGGACAGGCACCCAAGCAGGTCCACGGGATGTATATATATATATATAGCCAGTTTTGATCAGCTCATACACGTCGGTGCACAGTATGTGGAACATTCAGAAACCAGTGATCAAGAAGAAGTTAAAGAACGTTCTAGTAAATTACCGGCGATGCGACAATGATGTTGACCGTCTTCCGAGTGTAACCACATTGAGGCCCCTGCGAACAGACCTCCATTCGCTGCGAGGACCAAGCTCTTGTTCTTGCACCAGCGCCATGCAACCAGAAGGCTTGGAGCAAGCGACGGGTTGAACAAACCAAAGGCTACGTGAATTGAGCACATGCCCTATGGCCGTGTCCTGTGAGATCTAATCTTATTTGCGATGGCGTATTTTAGCACATGCCCTATTGCTCTGAGTGACCCGGGACCCAAGACCTGAAATCCATCGGATAGGTCACTGCTCGATCGCACTTCAACTCTGCACCTCAGGGCGGCTGAAGCTGAGCACTGCGCACGGCCGATGACATAGACATAGCCTACTATTCCAATCTTACATCGACTACTATAGATTATCTATCTTATTCACTATCTACCCTCCAACCTCCAACCTTTTGTTTTTACGAGTGAGGTTCTCACATCAAAGCTCCTAGTAACGATGCCAGGAGCCCCTAGTAGCGTCCTTGCTCCTAGTAGTGACATGAAACTTGCAAACGCGCGGTCAGCCAGTTCTTGCACAAAAGATGCAAGATTGCTCAGCGATAGTCTGGGGTCGCAAGACATTGAGATACCAACCGTGCAAAACACACATCATGTTCGATGAACCTTGATCCGGCACACACTGGCTCAACAGTTTTAGCAGTGCCTCATCCGGGAGGTGGATGGCAGGTACAAGCATGGCAATCGCCGTGCTCCATTCCCGTCTGTCCATAACTGTTTCAAAAGGGACCCAGGAGGCGAGTCGCAGCGGTGCGGCCATCCTGTCTCGAATTGGTATGACATCGGGGTGACTCTTTTTGAGGTTAGTGAGGTTGCGCCGCCCTCGTGGAAGCTGACACCTTAACCAGTGAAGGTATTGGTGTTTGGAAGTACCCATCCATTTGTCAGACTCGCCCACAACAGTGTAATCCGGCCTATGCGAGACTACGTGGCGTTCGACTTGGCTAGGTTGCCAGTCACATAACATGTCCTCTTCAGCATGGATGAGATGGACACGACACGGGCCCGGGGTGGCAGCTGCTTGTAGGGCCGCAAACACCCCTTTTGGCATCGCCACTGCACCGAGCTTGGCGGAGATTCGACATGCTGGAAACAGCCTACGGAGGGCCAGGAAGACTACTGCTCCCGTATAGCTGCCTGCGCTAAAGCCTTCTAGCCGGAATTCCGTGGGGCAGTAGAGCCCAGCTGCCCTGGTGCTGCTGCTGCTTTGTTGCAAATACGGCAGACACGCCAGGATTTTTTCCGGCTGCACCGCGAGGAGCTTCCACCAGAGTCCATTCAGGAATGTAACATGCGGCAGTCTCCTATGCGCTGGCAACAGCCGCGCCGCTTCTAACATGATTTGGGTCCTCCTATAGAGCAGCGATGCCGGGCCGAAGCCAAGCTCTTGCCATCGCACGCATGGCTGTATTGTGAGCGACATTAACATAGCAAGTTCATGGAGGCAGGTCGTGGCGCCCGCAGAGACTCCTGTGATTTTCTCCCCAGGCCGGTCAATCGGCGTCAACGAGGGGCCATACACGCAAGTGCCATCCACTCTCGGGTTCGCGCAATGGAAGGTAGGGACGTCTGGGCCGCCCAGGGCGCCGCCCCCAAGACCTCCGCACTGGATACGCACACAGTCAGAAGGAGGGGCACTTGTGGCTGTGAGCCAGAATCCTTGATGCAGGGACATGTCATATCACTGATGCCCACAGACGGGTCCGATCCCTACTATTCTCATTGAAGTCCAGTACCAGGGATGCTAGGGTCTCCACTGGTTCCGGCAGGGTCTATGGACACCATTGTCGCCCCAAACGCGGCCCGGATTGCCGAGGTTCCGGCAGGAAGCCAATTGCGTGCAAGACCCCGTTGCGCAAATTAGGCAGCGGTTCTGCTTGCACCTCTGGGATTCCTACTAGATGGGCAACCGTTTTCCATGGTACGAACAGGCATGGCGGGCTCTTCTGCGGGTCAGGCAGCGAGATGTGGGAGCGATCTGCCGCCTGTGACCTGGACTCTTGGGAGTTCTGATCTGCCCCTGCGTGCAAGAGCTGTCGGACCAGGAGTTCTTCATTAGTTTCCCCCGGAGATTCCACCGGCACAAGCTCTGGATCTGATGGTTCCGAGCTTCCCACGAGGGTATGCGAGGGGTCTATGTCTATCGTGCGCCATTGCATCAGGAGGCAGAACCTAAACGCACTATCACCTGCAAGGGCCACCGGACTCCCTGTATAGCAACACCCTCCGATCGGTCTCCAGGTGTCTACTACCCACGAGGCCGCGCAACGCGGCATTCCCAAAAGGGCTATCGGCAAAGTCTCCCACCCAAGCTGCGCAAGGTCATTTAGAACCTTCGGAGCATCATGTTTTGCTTTACCAAAGGCGTGAAAAATAACCGGCCGCATGCGGTTCGGAAGGACCCGACTGGCTTGAAACAAGTGCTCACCAGGAAGGGACAGTGCTTTGCAAGGACCTTCCAGGTGTGGCAGTACTGACAGACAGCCTTGCTCGAAAGTGGCACGCGCACCGGGTGAGCCAAGGCGTGCGTTCCCGACCTGCCTCAGACAAGGCACCTGGGTGAGCCTCTTGGGCCACCGGATCGGCAACAACTCTACGGCGTCAGTAGCCTGGGGAGGATGCATCATTGGCATTGGCCAGAATGTCCTGCGCGTATAACTACCGTACATGGCCCATACAATGACGAGGTCAAGGGAGTTTTCCATAGGCACTCCTACTAGTGGGGTAAACATGGTTCCTCCCTGGGAGGTACGGAGCGATAGTCAGCCAGCTCATCCGCCAGTATCTCAGTGGAATATCGGGCGACTGGGCTTGGTCGACCCTGGCTCCCTATCGAAATGACGAGGCCTGCATTGTATTCCAGGTGTGCTTCTGTGACTAGCAGGAGACCAACCTTGTCCGTGTGCTTCGGGTCATCAGGCGCAATGCCAACTAGGTCAGTCCACTGCATTTGGCTGGTGGCGAGTGCAATTAGGTCAGGCATCTCGAATAGAGTGACAGGGACACAGTCGTTATCCACCAGCCCAAAGTGCTGTTGAGGGTACAAAAACCTGGCTACTTCTAGGACAAACACCCCTGCCCAGTAATATGGGACATCACGAAGCCCATTCTGGTGACTGACCGTGACCCACAAGACATCGGTTTTTTCCTGATGCGGTCCAACCAGTCGAGTCTTTTTGCAGAATGCGGTCTTGAAATGGCAGGAGACACTGGATGATCTCTGGGTAGTTAGGGCCCCGTCCGGTCTGCTCGGCAGTCTCATATCCTTCGTCCCTATCTACCGGTTGTGAACGGACGTCGTCGATGCAGCTTTGTCCTAAGGATCGGTCCAGCCCCAAGTGTGGCTCGACTGTGTTCAGTGCACGAAGGGCTCTATAGGCTTGCGCGTGCGCCTCATTGAGGGGCCGATTGCACCCGTGAATAAACACGCGAGCCTTGGCTTGCGTGATCCATCCAGTACCAGACTGGATGTAGGGCGTGGCTGGCACACTTTCATCCGCAAAACAGTCCGTGAGGTCTAGCTCATTATCCTGCGTATCGGCTGCTCCATCTTCACTGCTGGCCGCCCAGGGATCATAGTGCATGATGTCCTGCCTGGGCCTGCCACGGAACAGCTCCTAAGACCGACTAACTCAGACGGACTATGTTCGAATGGCGAGCCCCCAACTTGGGTTGGGTACAGGCCTTGGCTTGTACCAAAGTCGGTCAGACAAGGACCAACGGCGGAATACGTCTCTAGGTGCAAAGCCATGTAACTTGAGGTGTGCTGCTGTTGAGGACCGTGTCGCCCCAATTTCGAGCCAAAGTTTCTGCGATGAGGAATTGACCACTGGAGCAAGCATGTCCTTTGCATAGCAACCTGCGGGGGCGTACTAACACCTCTGGAGAATTGCAGATGCTGGTAAATCAATATCAACATGGTCTGACTTGCGCTGTTTTAGTCTGCGCGATGTATCGACGGAGTGCACCACTGAGATGCGGAAGATTATCTTCCTAATGCAGTTGACCAAGCGCTTCTTCCAGCTCAAGCATTTCTTGGTAAATCTCATGGACCACCCGAGCAGCCTGTCGCTGAGCAACCCCATGACCAAAGGGTGGGCAATCACGTAGCAGGTCGCTAATGGTTCCTGCAGCCGTTTTAATAAATGGTATACGTCTTGCTGCTTCTTGTGCAAGACACATGAAAGGCAACTGATACTGTGGCCGGTCGTCGCAGTGCGAGGAGGAAGAGGGAGGCTCGTCAGTGTCATCCTGACAGACTTGCGACGCATAGATGCCTGCCCGTC